CGCCTGACGTTTCGGATCACCCAACGACCCAAGTGCCTTGAATAATACCAAACACGAAGGAGCGAGTTTCACGGATGCCCTTTTCAAGCTCAAGAGCAATGACCTCATCCGAGTTCCCTACGTCACCTGTGGATAATCAAGACAGCTTGAATGGAAACAACGATTGTGCCAGTGAGAACTTGCTGCAAGCAACATTGTGTGTGCAGTGAAATCATGTTAGCTCATGTGAATCGTAAGTTACGAGCTTAACAGAATAGAGATACTACCGCTAGCTCCTAATTAAAAAAAACTATGATAGCTAGAACTATGACATTTTCAGGGCAGGGTCGCGCTACTAATAGGAAAGTGTGTTGCGTGCAATTTCATAGAGACAGTTCGTGTGAAACTTGTATAACTGATCTAATAAAATCTAAGGTTACCTCACACAGAGAAAAAAAAAAGGTAATTACGTGGGTTGGAGAATACCTCAGCAACCGAAACCAAACCGTAATAAAAAATGGCATAAGTTCACCTCCCGTACGCGATAAATCTGGAGTGCCACAAGGATCTGTTCTTGGGCCACTTTTGTTTTTACTTTATATAAATGACCTCCCTAACAATGTTTCATCAAAAATTCGACTGTTTGCAGACTGTGTGGTATACCGTCATATATCAAATCAATCAGATTGCATTGCCCTTCAAAAAGACTTGAATAGCATAATGCTATGGTGTGAGACATGGCAAATGAAAATAAATATAGAAAAAACGAAAACAATGACATTTACAAACCGTTCTTCCATTGTACATCATGACTACACTCTCATAGATTCAAAAGTATATAAAGTAACGTCATTTTAATATCTGGGTATTCATCCAAGTCGTAATCTTTCGTGGAATAGTCATATAGACTACATTCTTAAAAGAGCAAATTAATCTTCAGGATTTATGAGAAGACATTGGTACATGGCAACAAAAGAAACAAAACTACAAGCATACACTGCTCTGATTAGGCCAAAGTTGGAGTATGCATCTATAATTTGGAACCCGCATCAGAAGTATTTAAATGACTGGCTAGAATCTCTTCAAAACAGGGCAACTGGATTCATACTCAAACAACATGCACCTGTAAGCGTCACACAACTTAAAGCCCCAATTGGCTTAGAAACACTTCGGCAGAGAAGATATCTTGCTAGGCTATCGTATTTCCATAAGCGCTTCCACTCTTCAACTGAATTTCGCGAAAATAACGTCCCCCCCCCCCCCTATCTTTCCTCGTCATGATCACCCCAACATAGTTCATATTCCCTTCGCAAAAACTAACTTGTATAAATTTTCGCCGCTTTATTCAATGTTATTTTGCTATTTCGATGTCCCTGATCTCTGTGGTCCCTTTACATTCAAACATAATTGAGGCAATTAAAATGTAGGACAAATTAGAACTTTCTTTTTCTTTTTTTTATTAAAACCTACCCAAATTAGCCGGCATGTTTCTCTGTGCACTCCCAGTAAGACTGACTGCAGCTGGCATGATTTTACAGACAGAAAAACAAGTACTGCCGGCATTTTTCTTACCCCCCCCCACGCTGCGCGGGTCTGCTGCCAGCATTCTTTTTTTCCTATGTCTACGCAGCCAGGCTATCAGGAAAATATAATGCCGGCTGCCGGCATTATACCCGCTCCCTACATATTTTTGTTTTCTTTTTTTTTTTTTGCTACCAAATTTACAGCAATGTCACAGGGTCGTTGAGAAGGAAAGCTCGTCACAACCGTGAATGGAACAGGTATTCTAGATGCTACAAATGCCCAGCACAGTGAGGTAAGAGTTGATACTTACCATACATCTTTATGACTTGGGCTCGAAAACAGCCAGATTGACTGGCGTCTTCCCGCCACACGTACCAATGGTTGGTGTTGAAGTCTGTAAGCCCAGCTGGGCTAAATTCTTTATGTCGCTGCATAGAACAACGACCTCCGCGTCGTCGTCCTGAAACCAGACGTACGCGTGCATGCTTCCGCAAACTAGTATGGACGTAACGCTAAACACTGCGAAACTCGTAATACAAGGTACTTCCGACGCACGTGTTACTTGGCAATGTTTAGGGACATTAAGGATTCGGGGGATTGAGGACTGCTGTCACTTCGGACTTTTGAAGGACATGCTGCCGCTGCGGCGCCACCAGTGCGACAACTACAATCACGTGAATTCATGTGTTGGTACGAAATAATCGTAAAACACGATTTGTATTATAATACTCATTAACAAATTTTGCTAATGTTTGAAATGCCGCCCTGATGCCACCAATTCACTCGCAGCTGCAAGAACGAACGCCAGGACTTAGGGCACCAAGTACAAAGGTGACAGGGATAATAGCCAACGAAATCCATTCTTGTAGCCACTTCTATCAACAATGAGAAAAATGGCGGACGATTCAGGTGGTCCCGTGGCGGGTTGCTCCTCGGATGTTACAGATCCTTCTAGTTCACGCCAAAATTCCCACGCATGCAAACGAAAAAAGTACTTGGAACCTGGCGCTGAATACCGGATACCGACAACAACAGAACTTTTTCGCAAAAAAAGAGTAAGCACTGCCGTGCCGTAGGCAAGCGCAGCGGCAGTATCAATATCACAAGAACGTGCCAGCGACGGCGGATCAGACACTCACAGAGCGGACAACCACAGAGCTTACGACAATAGAGCCGGCGGCTCCGCAGCTGACAACCACCAAGCCTACGACGATGGAGCCGGCGACCCCGCAGCCGGCAACCACAGAGGCTACGTTGATAGAGCCGGCGACTCTGCAGATGACAACCACCAAGCCTACGACGATGGCGGCGACCCCGCAGCCGAAAACCATCAAGTCTACGACGATGGGGTGGGCGACTATGCCGAAAGCGACCCTGGAGCCCACAGCGAAGGAGCCGATGACAACGGAGCCGACAACGCATTCACGACCGCTCTGGACGACGAGCTCGCGAGTGACAGCGACTTGGCACATTTTATTTCACAGTTTTGCTGCACAAGTTTTGCTAATACCACGTTGTCTGCGGCGGATGCCACGATTGGCATCATTTGTTACGGCATTGCAGCGAGCCTGAACTGGTCAAACATGGAAGGGCTGCTCAAACTTGTGAACTTCCTATTTGGCAAAGATGTGCTTCCGGGATCAAAGTTTTTGCTTAGGAAGATATGGTCCAAACTTAAAAAGTGGATGACTAAGCACCACCTCTTCTGCAAGGAGTGCGGCACCAATGTTGTTGCAGGGACTCAAGATGGGACACCATGTCCGAACTGCCAAGCTGTCGTCCCTACGAAGAATTTCTCCCAACGGAATTTCTTCACAACGCTCGACCTGAAGCGGCAGCTAGAGGTACTCTTAGCCGACGAAGGTATCGCGCAAGAGCTGTTCCGGTCTCTCCAGAAGAAAAACGAAAAAGCAGACAACACCATGAGAGATCTGACGGATGGAGCACTCTATCAAAAACAGACTGCCAACAGCTCCTGGTGTGATATTATACTCACTATGAATACTGATGGTGCACGAGTTTTTAACTCGAGCAAATCGTCACTGTGGCCACTCCAGTGCGTATTCAATGAGCTGCCGGTGCACATACGCTGGAGCAATGTACCGCTTGCAGCACTGTGGTTTGGTGCAGGCCACCCCGACATGGTGATGTTCCTAAACCCGTTCGTCAACGAGATCAACCGTATCGGGACAATCACATGGGAAAGTGGCGGTCACATCATGAACTCAAGGGTACAGATCGTATGCTGTTGCGTCGATGCGCCAGCAAGGGCTGCTGTTCTGAACATGAAACAGTTTAATGGATATTACGGATGCACCTGGTGCCTTCAGAAGGGGACATAACTGAATGGTGCTTTTGAACCGTCACATTGATCTTGGAACTGTACCGTCAAGTCTTGCATATTTTACGCTGTCAACTGATGAAATCCGTTTCGTGAGTAATCTAATTAATTTGGAAAGTGATGATAAAATCAAGACAGGAAAGAATAAAAAGTGAGATCTTGGTCGCTTTTGTTCAGCTTCAGTAACTGAATAATTTGTTAAATGTAAAGCTTAAAGCATCATTTTGCGCCAACCAGTTCTTTCTCATTTTTTTACTTTTTGAGGTTTCATGAGGTACCCAGTGCAAGAGGATGGGGCAGTGGCACCACAGAGGACGGTTCGCTCTTTAAGGAAGAACGCAGCAGCAGCACTGCGGAAAGGGGAACCGTCCTGTGGAGTGAAGGGGCCCACATCGCTGATGAATGCCCTGGGACCTGACTTGGTCTGGAGTATGTGAACCCTGACTATCTCCACTGTGTCTTGGAGGAAGTAACCAAGCAAATGTGCGAGAAGTGGCTCACCTGCACGCAGCTCGAGTGCTACATTGGCACCCTAAAAACAGTGGAAATCATTGACAAGCAGCTCTTGCAGCTAACTCCACCCCAGTGGTTTACCCGGTTGCCCAGGTCTCTGGTGGAATGGCCATTTTGGAAGGCAAGTGAATGGAAGTGGTGGCTGCTCCACTACGCCATCCCGTGCCTAGAAGGTATCCTGCCAAAGTATCTGGACCACTTTTGTCTCCTCGTGAGTGGAGTGTACCTCCACTCAAAGGACGCGGTAGAAGAGAGTGACGTGTCCAAGGCCTCAGATTTGCTGGCCGAGTTTGTGATGATGACTCAGGTTTTGCATGGCATGAGTGCTATGACATTTAAAGGGGTACTCCGCCAATTTTTCGATGGTCGCCGATTTGCCTCAAAATTGGCTCAACACACCAGTGGGCAAAGCTGAACTCGTAACCAAATTATTTCATTGAAATAGTTTTTTTTCGCAGTTATTGAATTTGCAAATTACGGGTTCAGAGCCGATTTCAACAGGTGACTCTCTACCGGCAACACTGGAGTCGCTCGTCAGGTGACGTCATTGGAAGTGCTCGTTTGGGCGACCTTTTGGGAAGTGTGCTTCGAAACGACATGCATCGCTACAATTTCGATCTTTCTAAGTTTCCGTACCCATACAATGGGTTTCGGAAACTGGTGCTGTGCTGTCGGCTGCACAAACAGCGCCAGTGACAAACGCAGCGTGTCGTTTCATCGCTTTCCTGGTGACGGCGCCTTGCGCGAGCAATGGATCCAAGCTGTACGGCACGATAAGTGGTCCCCGACGAGTACAACTCGACTGTGCTCGGAACACTTTCACGCCGACTGTTACGAGGCCTCGAGTCTTCTGAAGTCGGAGTTCGGCCTTGGCCACGGTACCCGGAAGCTCAAGCCCGATGCCGTGCCTACGCTTTTTAAGCACACGGAACCCCGACGACCCCCCATCGAAAGAGGAGCCCTTGCAAAAAGGAAAAGATCAGAGGTTGATGTTTATGTCTCGTTCACATGTGCGTTCGAGAAGCGCGCTCGCTGTGGTGCGGATTGTCGACGAGATTTAAACACGTAATGAATTTGTGTATGTGAGCTAGCTAGGCTGTGCTTGCCGAGTGAAGTGCAAGCGATTGAACCAGAAGACTTTATTGCTGCTCGAAGCGAGCACTCAACACGGTGGCCCATGATACTTCTCGCTGCTCGAGTCGTAGTCTCTTGAGGATGAGAAGTACACCTGTGTACAAGGTGCGGCCGTAAAAAACTTCTAGATTTGAAACGCCTAGCAAAAATAGGATTTCGAACGTGCACACATGAGATGGGGCACACTAACGTTGTTTCGCCCAAAGTTTCATGTCTATTCTTTTCAGACGTCAACTTGGGAGTAGAGACTAGCTAAAAATACAACAAAATCAGCCGCCGTGCATTTCCTATGGCCTATAGCAGTGGTTCTCAAATGGGGGTCCGCAAAGACATTCTAGGGGTTCGCAAAGCCCAGACTCATCAGTCAAGCCTAGCAATTAAATTATCTGTTTTCGGATTGAGAAGAAACGTTCCAATTTTCGGGTAGGTCTGCTTGTGTACATGTCAATAACAGAAGTCTACTTCACACCAGCCCTTACATATACCCATTTAATAAATCACTAGCATAATATATTAATACATTTCCTTTCCCCTCACCACGAGCGGAGTCCTCCATCATCTCCGATCCACAAGGGGTCTGCGGAACATCAAGGGTTGAGACTCACTGGCCTATGGGGTAGTTTTTCGTTTGCAAACTGGTTTGCAACCGCACTCCCATATGGTATACCCAATACAAAGGCATTATTTTTTTCCTCATTTTTCACAATTATTTCAATCGCTGCCAGCCTTTCCAAAGATGTTCTCAGGGTTTTTGCGTTCAATAGGTCTCCTGTGTTGCCTTAGAGACGCTGCGCAAAAAAATATCTATTTTTCTATCGGTAACGGGCACAAACAGGTGAGACATACCAGCACGTCTCAAATCGACAATCACTACCAAGTATACTTCGATGCAACCTTGTCATAAACTGCAGGAAAGCCTGCAGGTGCAAACGCCGAACGTCCCGCCACACAAGCGCACATGCATCTGAGGTGCATTTAGAGGCAACCAGTTTGCGCTTACTGTTCGCTGCAGTCGATGTTGAAGTAGGACGCTAAGTATAGTTGCAATAACTATGTGACGCCTCTCTGGTATGCGGTCTGTAAACGTTTTGAAACATTCATTTTTGTCCAAAGTGGGTGGCGAAAATTCCGGAATTTGAAAGTTGCTCATGAAATAGCCAGGTACAAATAGTTACGCGACGCCTCTTTTATATTCGTGCCGTCCAGAGGGTTTGTACTACTCAGAAAAAGATGTTCAAAGCTTCAGCCACCTGAGATCAAGGTCCCAGACCAGTTTGCAGACGTAAAACAATCAATGTAGGCCATAGGAAATGCATTGCTGCCGTTTGTGTTCTATTTTTTTTTAATTTACTACCTCCAAGTAGATGTCTGAAAAAATAGGTATCAAACTTTGGGCGAAACAATGTTTGTGTGTCCAGTTTCAAGTGAGTATGTTTCAAATTCGATTTTTTTCTAGGCATTTAAATTGTCAAAGTTCCTACGGCCGCACCACACTATTTCTCGCATCACATGCCTGTCGTGATGTGCGTAGGAAACGAGAAAATAAATTGTGCGAGTGTGTACCCATAATAAATATTGTAACGTAGGGTCATTATTATAATGGGTCCAAGTGTCTATTTGGTCGTTCTTGGTAAAATACCAGAATCCCCTGCTGCATAACACTAGGGAATGTAAACATCTTCGACAGAAGTCTGTCTGGTTAGGAAATTAATAGACTGACTGAAAATTGCAACTCTAACCAAACTTTAATAAAAACAAAATACTCCAACGTTTCTGGACCTGCTCGGTCCCTTGGTCATGGGTGACCGAGGGACCGAGCTGGTCCCAAAACGTCGGGCTACTTTGTTTTTATTAAACTTTAGTTAGAGTTGAAATTTTCAGTCAGTCTATAACACTGTAGTAGTTCATTGTCAGCGAGGTTAAAGAAGATCTGAATAAGAGAGAGAGAGAAGACAAAACTTATTGATTACTTTGAGATGGGTGAACAAGCATCTCATATTAAATTAGATTGTGGTCTAGTAATAAACATATTTTTTCATCCCAATAGAAATCTTATATTATTGAACACAGCTGGTGCAGGATGCACTGGATGCTGCAGCACCTGGGCCATCTCAGCAAGAAGCTGCTCCTGATCCAGCCATGGACGACGACAGCGAGTGCTTCTTTGAGCAAACCTCAGAATCAGTGAGTGCTGACGTTGGCTGCCAAGCAAATATCCATCTGGCAACCAGAAAGAAGGCCCAGACATCCACCCAGAGCAGAAGCGTTGGTATGTTATCAACTTATTCATTTACCTTTGCTTCTGTTTACATTCAGTGCACTTTATTCCTACCAAGAGGACAGAGGCTTTCAAGCCTTTGTCCTCTTGTATATAATACTGCCGACCGGGCTAGCTGCTCTCTGCATGCTTCTGGAGGGGCTTCGGGTGCTAATCCAACTTTGTTCGGAGACACGATTTCAGCGAGGTGCGAGCCGAACTTAGGTTTATGGCACGGATTGCATTATGTTTATCGTTTGTGCCGAAGCCAAAGTGTCTAAATGCGTGGGCTATCTACCGCTCTTTGAGGCTGCGAGCCCAAAAGATGGGAAGAGTGTTCCGGAGAGGGGGGGGGTTGCGAACATTTTGGGGGCTGTTTTGACATCAGGACACCCGCCCTGGCTATGCCACTGTGTCAGGGGTATAGGAAGGGGAGCTTGTCCTAAAGAGACACACCTCCAAACTTGTTCGCCTTATTTATACTCATGCATCCTTTATTAGGCATTGATTGGTTTAATCTCGCATGTTCATTACTATTGACAGCAAATCTTGCGTCCTGATTGTGATGCCAGCCAGACATATGCTTCAAGCATTGTTAAACTGCTTTTTAGGTATTCAAACAGAACCTTCGATTCGTCATCTGGGCTGCCAGACAGACAGCACCTGGAGCACAGAAAGGCCACCCCTTCAAGCGTCGCCTCCGCTGCTCACTGATGACGAACAACACAAGCTTTCTGATGAGTATGTCTTGTACATTAAAAGTATTTACGGTGCTAGATGTTGTGAAGTCTCCTAAGTTGGATACTCATGGCTTTATACAGGTTACTAAGCATAACCTTGACATGGTAAATAGACCAGGTTATTAATTGTCAAGGTTCAAATTTGCAAAGTTTGAAGCTTTTAAGATTTCTAGTAGTTTCGGTTCAACAATTTGAATTTATATGGACTTGAAAGTAAAAAAATCAAAGGTATAAAATACTTCCCCACTAGAAATTTAAAACTTTTTTTTTGTGTGTTAGGCCAGAGTAAACTTTTTCATTGTGACTACTTCTGCTTTTGAGACATAACTGCATTTAAACCTAAAGTTAAAAATTTTTTGAACATTTCCCATTTTTTCAAAATTGCAAACTCCAAAACTTTGAAAAAGGCACAGTCTGGTTCTCATTAAGGTATGACTTCCACAGCTTCAATTTCCAACGATGTTTTCATAGATTCATATTTAAAAAAAACTTGCGTGTCATGTTTTGGCAGTGTGAAGTAGCAGATCAAATGAAGCGACGAACCTAGCCGCCTTAGAGCAATTTTCGTCAGCGTAATCACTACTGCAATGATGCATGTTAGCCTAGTGTCTAACGTGCATCATTGCAGTAGTGATTACGCAAACACGTTGCTGCGCCATGCTCATCCAAATCGAACCAACCAGAAACGGGCAGATGTTGAGCAGACGAAAAACATGAGGCAAGCTGGCAAAACTAAAACAGGTTGTACTACCTGCGGTACCCGTCACACAGAAGAAATTAGCGAGGTGTATTAAAAGTCGACGGCTGTCGATTTTTTAATGTAAAAAGCTCACAAGTTCGATAATTTTTAAACCAATCATCAAAACTTTGGCTAAAAGAAAGGTTGCGGCATCCCTACTCGCCACTATCTCGACAGTGTGTCCTCGGTGGACAGGCCGTTGTCTCACCTCCAATATAATTATGAGTTCCTCAAGAAGTTACATCACGGTCCACTTACTGCATACCTACCTTGTACTGTCTTTTAATTGGGTAAAGAAAATGCAAAACTTGATCAATAATTATCCCAAAGTCTTTTGCTGTTTTGCACATTCTTTGAATTGGGTTAGGCTCTAATAGTGACTGCCTTCAAAACTAATGCTAACACGTCCCACTGGAATACTAATTTTAGAAGTTAATAAACATGCTTTGGTTAATTAGTGATAATGGTACTATGATTATCCACCCATCCAACGTCCGCCGAGTAGTTGCACAGACACACTGTGAAGACGGCATTCACGTGGCAGTGAGCCTCTTTTATATATATAAAAATCCGTCTTGGTTAAAAAATACCACCCTGTACATTTCATCATACACACAGGAAACTCGAGTTGCTTTTATGATATTTTCAGAGATGACAAGGATGAAGCAGACACTGCAGTCATCTGGGATTCGGACATGTGAGTATACATAGACTATGAGGTGCCACAACCTTCCCTTCTTCTGTCTCTTAGTTTGGTGGTCACTCTCACTAGCCTCTAAGTTAGCAAGTGAAGCATGACATTGTTTTTATGAATGGTGACATAAAAGTTTGGAAAGGTGGTATTCAGAAAGCATCGTAAGGATTCAGGCACCTACCACCAGGGAAAACCTGGAATTGTGAAAGATCTTTTTAGCACCTGGACAAATCAGGGAATTTGAAAGATGTAATTTGGTAGATGCCACGAGGATGAAAGGTTTCAAAAGCAGCAACATGTCTGTTTACAGACCAGGATCAGCATTAGTTGATGCTCTGCAGGGGAGTTACAAAATGAGATGCCCACATTCACGTGAGCACGTGGGCATGCGGGCACTCCAATAGACCCTTTCCAGAATTCAGTGCCATCTGGTGACTCAACTGGCTGTTTAACTTGAACTGTACTAATGGCGGCAGTGAACCTGTGATCTGCAGTATTTTATGGGGCACCCTCACTTTCGCAAGTCAACGGTAAACGAGAATGTGCGCTTCGCTGTACAGGTATTTTTTAATCTCTTTCAGTATCGATGGCGAAAAAAATGTGACCAGTCAGAACGAAGCGCCAACCCACATAGCAATCTTGATAAATTTTTATACATCAAGGGGCTTTGAAGCCGAGTGTGTGCTACTAACACATTGACTGGGCCCGAGTTAGAAATGAAAACTTACGCAGCTCTTGCATCTAATTCTTACTTCACGTCGCGCTAACGTCTAGAATGTATGGGCCTCGAATCATCTGCTTAGGAGCATCCTCAACTTCTTTCATCAGTAAACAGAAGGCCGCCATTAGTATAGACCATTTGCCTTTTTTCAGATAATGATAGTCATCAAAGTGGCCAGACTGAATTCTGGAAAGGGTCTATTGTCCAAAATATATTCTATTTAGAAGCTTGCATTGCAAAGCTGTTGTGGGAAGACATCAGCATTAACCAAGCTTATGGGTGCTTCTCACCTGAAATAGTGCCTCACTGTAATATGTTTCTAACATATTGTTACCTGAAAGAAGACATCTTTGGCACTAAGCTGTTGACTAATGTCACTTGTAAATTACAAGCATTTTTCTTCAATGTTTCTAAAATATTATTAGCTGAAAGAAGAGACCATTGGCACTAAGCTATTGACTCCCCATTATGTCACATGTAAATTTCAAGCATTTGTTCTTCAAATATTTATTTAAATATCTCTTTAAATACCCATTAAATATGTATTGAATAAAGATTACAGACATTAATTATTTTGGTTAGTCTTGTTCTTATGAAATGCTTTGTGATTTAAGGAGTTTGCAATTGCACGATCATTTACATGACATGTTTCCTATTCATGCAGGCAGGACAGCCAAGACCCGCCATACTGCCCCAAGGAGAGGGACATGCATGATTCCGACGAGGAGTAAGGCATCCTTTTATGTCTCGGGTCTAAACAAGGTACCGACGTGATGCACGAACTGGAATTAGTTCATTGAATAGGAACTACAGAACCTGTCATTCTGAATGTTATGTGACAGCTATCCATTATGACAAACAGCGGGTTCTTTGTCATAAGGCAAGAGGCACCTAATGCAGTGCATTGTTCAACCTAAGGTGAATTTCCATAGCAGTTATACGGTTCTTCCAACTGTAATAGCTTGCACAAGAAACTGGAAGCATGTGGCACAACATCACAAAACGAGCTTCATGCCTTGCATTACTAATATGTTGCAGAATTTCAATGTTATGAATAGCTAGGTTCATTCTTCGTTAGCATACCCTGCTGATTAAGTTGAACTAGATTTACCCAAAATCCTCCGTATGGCATCTCGTGAAAAGTATCTGGCAATTTACAGGATAAAAATGACAATAATCAGGCAGAACAGCATCATACCAAGCTGGCCTCTCGAGGAGCTGTTTATAGGTGAAGGACTTGGGGCTTATTGCATTATTTCTTCACTTTAGCAGGTTTTGACCAGAGGTGGTGGAAGCATGCACCTAAAATCTACAGATGTAACTGGGCAGCCCCTATCAGTGAGTTCTAAGGAACTGATAGAATTAGGATGCTTTTTTTGACATCTAACATAACATGTGTATTGCTTGTGCGGAGAGGCATCATTTTACATCTTTTTCCTTGTAACTATTTCTCCTGGCTCTGCTGTTTCTGGGTACAACTGAGTTCCAATTTCAAACTTGCCTGTTATTTCTGGAACTCGTGGTTCCCAAAATTAAACAAATCTTCCAAACTTGCATACATTAACCTAATAAATATTTCTATTAGACAAATGGTTTTGTATTAGTCTAATACACATCTCTACTTATGAGATAAAGATGTCTATTAGTCTCATAGAGATTTCTATTGGTCTCATACAAGTTGCTATTAGCCTTATAGGGATTCCTATTAGTCTCATAGGAGTTTCTATTACTGTAATATCCCGAGTCATCGCCCACCCCCCTACCGCCTGAAATTCGTTAAAAAAGTGGGGTGGGCCATGTCTCGGTGGGTGTGCACAAACACTTGAAAAAAAGCGGAAAAAACCGCCTATTTTTCTCTGCGTATCTAGCGCTGATGCACAAGAGATACATCAAACTCAAAACTCAATTTAGTTTCATTGTTTTATAGAAAAAAATGCTCACGAAAGAATATTTTACTATAGCGAAGTCCGTTGCTAGCATACGCGCTAGAAACACCGCCGATCTGCATATAGCGCGAACGTTTGTTCCGTGAAAGAATGTCACCATTATGTTCTCCTATTTAGTAAAAAAAAAAAAAAAAAAACGTCTACAAGAAAATAGAAAAACCGACCAGGCGCAACGAGCGAGCGAGCGAGCGGACCAAAGAAGCGACCAAGAGCAATGCTGGGAAAACGGGAAAGCCGACGGTCGCGTTGGCAAATACTTTGGCATCGGGCCAAGTCGGGCGCCTTGTCAATTGCAAGCTCTTGCGCAACTTGTTTGGTGCGTACATACGTGCGTCCGTGCACGGCGGGCTATCAATGCACGGTTGGGACGCTCTGCAAACGTCTGTGTAGGACGTTCCAGCAAAGCTTTATTTACGCTTTGGCTTTGCCTAAAATATTGCACAACCGCGGTCGCGACGGGCGGGAAGAAGGAGCGGGTTCGCGGTGACCTTACTTCGGCGGAGACAGACTTTGACCTAACACTCCGCGGTTACGTTAACAAACTCTTATTTGTTATCTCCATCGTTTTCTTTTCGCACGGATACACGACCACTTTGGGGTCGCTCACGGAGGAAATGCGTAAACAAAAAGAAGTGTCTTTCCCTCCTTCGTTTTACTTTGTCACGGACGTCCTCCAACTGTAAGGTCCGCGGCCGCGTCATTCGGGTAGGATGAGTGTTCGCGGATCGCAGAGTCCGCGCTGGGGTATTTGAAGGGGTGGGCGATGACTCTGTATTTTTTCGGAAATCGATATTGGCCCCAAAAATGGGGTGGGCGATGGCTCGGGGATGGGCGATGACTCGGGACATTACGGTAGTCTCATAGGCATTGCTATCAGTCTTATAGGAGTTCCTATTAGTCTCATAAAAATGTCTATTAGTCTCATAGATATTCCTATTAGAATTTTTGCTAGGTGCAGTCAACTGACAGAGCTGAGTTTGCACACATTATAGATGCAATGTGTCCATCATCACAGAAGGGCATTGGGACACCTGTTTATGCCTTGTTTGCTTTTAGTCCTTGCATAGTCAACTTGTTTCTGGCACATTAATACTTTAGCCCCCTAATTTTGTGAGAAAATGCCCTCTCGTTTTTCTTCCTTTTCTTTTTCTTTGCTGTGGATGCTATTACCCAGTAAAACATGATCAACTGGTATCAACCCTGTTTTCATAAGCTATACCACTTTCTTGGATCACATACCTCGTAAAATTCAGCTAGTTTCAGATGCACCTGCCGTGATGATACGCTTGGGACAAGCTATATGTTGCTCACATTTTATTGGGCACCAAATGCTTTCTGCAGAAGCTGGTGAGACACACCTATCCTCTGTGGGTAGTCTGGAAAACATTCGCTGCAGGCACAACTTCAGGCAGCTGAGCTTGCCTTGTCTAAAGCCCAGCAGCAGGCCAACTACTGGAAAGGCCAGTATGAGAGAAAGAAGGCGCAAGGCCTTGGTCTCAATACACTCGACGACCCCCAGGACTGCCACTATTCGCGACTCCAATTCACTATAGGTGGCGCCACTTGTTTTCCGAAATGGCGGTTTTAGTGAGGGTTAGCCCTTGCCGCCAAAGGAGTTGAAAAAGGAAAGAAGAGAAATGAGAAGAGTGAAAAGGAGGAGCAGACAAGGGTGAAAGCAGAGAGGGGATAGTAGAAGTGGCGACTAGACTGAATCATCCTGGCCGGGCCTTACCAGGACTCCCGTCTATGAGAAGCGGGGGCCGAAGTGGTGTATTGCCTCGCCCGGGGGTTCGCGAAGGATCCAAACCTACCCCGGACTTGGCTCAACCACCAGGATGCCCTTTTCCCCAGATACGAGAAAGCCACGCACAGTCAGACATGGGTGGGCGAACCCGCATGGCTCAGGGTCCGTGGAGACGCCACTCTCCAAACACCTGCTTTCACAAATAAATGCCCCCTGCGGGGAGTTGAAAAAGGAAAGAAGAGAAATGAGGAGAGTGGAAAGGATGAGAAGATAAAGGCGAAAGAAGGGAGGGGATAGTAGAAGTGGCGACCGACTGAATCATCCTGGTCGGGTCAAGCCAGGATTCCCATCTACGGGAAGCGGGGGCCGAAGTGGTGTATTGCCTTGCCCGGGGGGCCCCAAAGGGTCCAAACCTACCCCGGGCTCGGCTCAACCACCAGGATGCCCTTTTCCCCGGACACAGGAAAGCCACGCACAGTCAGACGTGGGCGGGCGAACCCGCACGGCTCGGGGTCCGTGGAGACGCCACTCTCCAAACACCTGCTTTCACAGGTGCCCCCTGCGGGGCCAGGATCGACTGGGGCGACGCCCCGAGAGCTGCGGGAGAAGCGGAGCTCACGTGACCGATGCGCGGCCAAGAAGTGCGACGTCACAAGAGATGCGTCAGGAATTGGTCGAAACGGGACGTGCCCTCGGTCACGTTTTGGTTAGCGATTTTCAGGAATACTGTTCTTATTTCCCCTTGAATAACCGTGAAAAATATAAATCGGACCAAAAATGATTACTAAACCGTAAAACACAACAGCATAACTGTTTTTCTTTTTGTTACGCTGGACGCGAAACGGGCAACGAGGAACTATGGGCAAACAAAATAAAATAAGAAAGGAACACGCGGGAGACGTTTGGTTTTGGTTTCATATGTCGGTGTCGTGTTTACTTTCTGAACACGGTACTCGAAAGATTCTGCAAAATGGTAGTCATGCCAAATTTGGTGTGCACCTAATCGGAGAGCCCCATCTCCTCTGCTGATTGGCTGCAGGATTGTAGGTACCGCGTAGGCCGCGTAGGGACAACTCAACTAGGGATGGTTCTGGTGGCCAGCATGTCGCTCTGTGGTGTCACCGGGGTTACCATAGTTACGTTACGTCGCAGTCGTGCCGTTTTCAAACTCGTTTCGACGGCTTTTCGCGACGCCTTTTGATCGCACGCTGACGCCGACGCCATGGAACTCCGAGGTGCTATCGTCGGGGATAGCCAGTTGAAGTTTATGGAACGCCATCGACTGTGGCTTGTCTGAAGTGTGCAAGTGTGCACTTTCAGCTTCCCGGGTGCATCGACGTGTACGCTGCCCGGGTACGTTGAATGCTTGCACCTGTACGCTGAGGACTTCATTGCCGTGTATGTGGGCGGAAACGACCTTTTCAACGGGGACTCCGCCGACGATATAGCCACGCGAATAAAGGTGAATATCATTAAGTTATTGAAACACTGGAGGAGCGGGGCAAAAGCGGGATGACATGACAAAATGTTGTATGAGGAGGGGGGAAAGGAGGCCCAAGCAAAATGGCAAATTTTTTTTTTTTTGGGGGGGGGGGGGGGGGCAGACCCCATGGGCCCCTCCCTGGCTATGTGCTTGGCTCTAGTTTATGTAATCCATTAACCTGGTTAGCAGCAGTACACAACTTCGCTTTGTCAGGTGCATAAATGGATGTTCTTTCTTTTCGAAGGATTTCATTGTCGGGCTCATGGAGTCAACACGGCATGTGCTGGTATACAAGATTGTACCGAGAGGTGGTCCTGTCGGGGCAGCCAGAGAGAGAGAAAGGCTTGCGCTAAACCACCTCCTGGTGCGAAAGCTGGCTGCCCTCAACGTCAATATCTTGACTGTTGACGTAAGTACATAACACTCACACCCCTAACACATCTAGCTTTTGAGTTGCATGTGACACATTTTCTAGAGCCTTTAAATACTCTGTTGATCCAATATACAGGATGGTTGATTCAAACAGATTTAAAAAAAAGGGGGGGGGGTGAAAGTTAGATGAGTGCCGCCTTCACCATGATCTCAGGCTCGGTGGTTATGGTTAGTTAACTAATTAATTCAAATCTGTTAATAAACTTTTTCATTATTGGTTTTAGGGGTCGTGTTGCAGTTGCAGTATTCATGGCAATTACAATTGAAATAATTTGAAGAAATATAATGGTTTTTGAGATATTAAGTGAAAATTTTATGTTTTTTAGCCCAATTTAAAATTTAAAAAAAATGCACCACAATGAAGCTTTGAAGAGTGACATACAGTGCAATCCACCTAGAGCGCTGATGAGAAAACTCAAAAACGCAATCGTTATAACCGATTATCGTTGTATCTGGACTGGATACCCCACGCAAAAATGAATTGTCTTTTAGAAACCGACCGTTATAAGTGGTACATCATTATGTGTGGTATTGTTACAAGTTAACTGCACTATAGTCGTTTCAGTCACATCGCCACTTCTGCTGTCTGCGTACCCACTAGAGTCACTGATTAGGTTTCTAGAGTACCGAAACTCCCAAGCTCCACGCCGTGGCGGTCAAGTTCATCCATATCCATGCGGCCATTTTGGAGCCTTACACAGTACGATAACTGTATGAATTAGTCATTCTCACTAGACCTTTGTGGTGCGGGCAGTGGAGCAAAAATATTTTTTTTCCCACTTCATTTTTACAGCGAAGCTGTTATGCGCTAGGATGTGGGGAAAAAATGCATCTGCGGATGTTGGCAGAAAGCTCCCCATTGGTCGTCGCAAGTACGCATAAATAAAACTAAAACGAGGGCGCAAGCAGTGTGAGTCAGCCTTCCTTGGCATTATTAGATAGTCGGGTCTTGATCTCATGTTTTCATCTCTAGGCATCGTCTTTAAGGTCAACCGAGAGGTCGTCCTAAATGCCGTCCTCGAAATCGTAAAGTGGAAGGACTCAACAATTTTTTTAAGCCTCTTTATATACTTTGTTTTTTTTGTCTATATATCCAGACTGACATATAATTTATTCAACGAGGATGGTCTATGCCATATTCCAATTGCAGTGGCAGACTTTACCTCTTAGAGCTTAGCCGCCTATTTCTATCATCACATTAAGCCGCTGGCATTTTTTAAATGTCTTTTGAGCAATCAAAAGACTGTCATATAAATGCAGCAGCATTTTATTGATTTATATACAACTATATAAAAGATGTTCAAAACTGGACAGCAGCAGGATAGAATAAAACAGTCTCAAGCTCTTGTTTTAGCTTGACAATTGCTTTGCTGGGCAGATGAAGCTTTCAACAAAGCCCAGCAATGGTTTCCCCATGACGATTCTCAGAGCAGTTGGCGGTCGACAGAATATTTGCAAATGGTTAATGCAGACAAATGGAACTGACGGTGAGTTATGAGAATGGCTTGGTATGAAATCAATGACTCTCTGAACTGCAAACACCAAGGTGTCATCATTCATACTATACCTGAGAAGCAAGATGCATCGTTTTCACTCGCGTCATTAAGCGACATTGTCTGCAGTACCAGGGGCGTAGCCGAGGGGGGCTTATGAAGCTTCAGCCCTCCCCCCCCCCCCCCCATATCCAGCTGACCCTATAATATCCAGATGCATTTTGACCCCCCCTCGCCCTCTCCGCACCCCAAATAATGGGCATCCCAGCCACCTCAGCCCCCTCCGAAAACAATTCCTGGCTACGCCATTGTATAGTACATATAAGGCCTTGCTGTGAAGGCTTCATTGGTGTTTTTTATACCCCACGGCAGGAAAACAGCAATGTAATGAACAAAAAAACTCGGATGACAACCGTCCGAGCGCCCATTCACCCGGACATTCCTGCTTCCAATTTCGCATGCAAAGCTACTCTTTAGATTCTTTTTTACAGTTCATACGAAGCGAAGCAACTTGAATAGAAAGCACTGCAATCAAATTCTTTGTCAGAAGCAGCCGTTCTTCCAAGCTGAGTCTAAGCAGCCTGATCAGCTGCGAGGCAACAAGCAATACGTGGAGAAGACCAGTGAAATACACTCGCCTCACAAAGCTTGCTTCTTGCAGTGGGCTTGGAATTCTTTCATTTTACAGTGATGCGATTGCTGCGCCATTTGTACCAAACTGTGCCGAAGTGCTTACCGAGCTACATCCTGCTACATTTTACCGCAATGTGAGGAATTTGTGCCAGCATTGTGCCAAAACTTAATTTCACTTAATCTCGAAAATATAATAGCTCAGGCCCCGCTACCTGGCCGGATCATTACGACAGGCTTATGTAAGTTTCCAAAACTTTTGATTATCACTTCAAATAATATACTATTCAATTCATTTCGTATCAGAGACTGACAGTACTTGAAAGTTTCGCAATAATAATTCTTATGTTCAAAGTCTATTCCGGCAGATTAGTTTGTTTGGCTGAGTGCGCCTCTCACCGTGCACTGGTGTGCTGCAGAGACGGATTGGCTCAATACTCTTCTTCCTTTGGTTCTGAACAGGTCGTGCCTCGGTTGAGACGTCGGTGAATAAAAAAAAGTTTCCAGCATATAAATATAAGTAATCGAAAAAAAAGTACACTCATCACAACAATCAATTAGAACGTCGGTTAAAACAAAAAATGTAAATGCACGTTTGCTGTGTGTACACTTCTTGGTGCCATTCAAAAACGCACAGAGCACAAACCGACTGCAGTTTACTCCGGTGTTCTCCAGATACCGTAAAACACCAGGCAAGCGCCCACTCAAAATTTAGAGATAATCGCAAAAAAATAGGGGATGGGCACTTGTCCGGTCATTAATTTTACATATATATATGTACAGCGCATATTTCCTCAGATCTTACAAATTTGGGTGTGGGCGCTTAATGTAGAATGGGTGGATGCGCCGTATTCCACGGTAGACGTCCGCTGATGCCACGGGCAGCGAAGGGCAGAGTACTAACTAAGCCACGCTATGGCCCCACTCACGAGTTTCACACTCTCCTCAAGTCCAGAATATCAAGTCTACGTCAGCCACCATTATGTTGTATTTGTAAAAATATCTGCTTGAGATAAGATGCGCCCTGCTGGGGTAAAAACAAGAAGCAGAAGAAAGGAACACTATTACTATTTTCAAAGTGCTCGCAAAAAACTTACACATAAAAAAGGTGACTGAGATGCAGATAACCTGGCTGGAATTCACAAATAAAGTGGGCCAACCCTAGAAGTTGGACTACAAAAAAGTAAGCAACTTTTAAAACAGGGTCAAATAAGGTAAAAGAAACAGAAAGAAATACGTCCTGTTTTCTAAGACAAGATGATAAGTGTGCAGCAACGAATGAGGATCCTTGTGGCATAACAGCTTCACATATCACATCTCTTTTTGTAAATATTAGGGTAGACGGAGCGTTGTCTAATGTTGTGACATTATGAAAATGGTCGTAGTCACTATATCCGAGAAGGATACTGTTAATTCTTCCCCGTGCACTTAAGGCCTCGAGCTTCTCGAAGAGCTAAGCACACAATCACTTGGTGTCCTCCTTTCCCCGTCTTTTGAAGTAAGATTTGTAAAATCATAAAAACTAGTCCTAATTCGTACATTTTACGAAAAATTCGGAAGAGTTGGCAGATATGGCTATGTGTCACTCAAGTCAGTGGGCAACAAATTTTCTCTGCAGAAGCTGCCGAAGCACTCCTTCTGCCCTCCTTGGGTGGCCAGGAGAAAAGTTTGCACCAAGAACACGTACATGCATGTCAACCGACAGAGGTGAGTTTGCACACATTATAGATGCAATGTGTCCACATCACAGAAGGGCATTGGGACACCTGTTTATGCCTTGTTTGCTTTTAGTCCTTGCATAGTCAACTCGTTTCTGGCACATTAATACTTTAGCCCCCCAATTTTGTGAGAAAATGCCATCTCGTTCTTGTTTTCTTCGTTTTTTTTTTGCTGTGGATGCTATCATTACCCTGTACAACATGGTCAACTAGTATAAACCCTGTTTTCATAAGCCATACCACTTCCTTGGATCACCTACCTCGTGAAATTCAACTAGTTTCAGATGCACCTGTCGTGATGATAAGCTTGGGACAAGCTATATGTTGCTCACATTTTATTGGGCAACAAATGCTTTCTGCAGAAGCTGGTGAGACACACCTATCCTCTGTGGATAGTCTGGAAAACATTCACTGCAGGCACAACTTCAGGCAGCTGAGCTTGCCTTGTCTAAAGCCCAGCAGCAGGCCAACTACTGGAAAGGCCAGTATGAGAGAAAGAAGGCGCAAGGCCTTGGTCTCAATACACTCGACGACCCCCAAGACTGCCACTATTCGCGACTCCAATTCACTCTACGTGGCGCCACTTGTTTTCCAAAATGGCGGTTTTAGTGCGGGTCGGAGATGCGTGCCTGCTGTGCCGGTATACCAGTTGCTGAGCCTGTCTACTTTGTTGGCTTCACTGACCGACACAAATTATTCCAGCTAATACGAGGAAGCTAGGGTGTTATGAGCACAGGTCACCTCCTTATCCTGAAAAAAATAAACGGTGTTTAGCATAATATTTACGCCCAAAGAAACATTTTTATTCTGGAACGAAACCGAAACTAACCTTTATTTTCAATTTAATTTCTCATAATAGGTGTTAGTTTCAGATTCTTTCAATACTCAAGATGTGTCTGACAGCATAATTATACAGCTAAAGAAGTTGTCCGCGGGAAATTTATTTCGTTTCGTACGTCTCCGATCTAGGCGCGTTCTATACTTTGCATGCACGAAAATGCGGTCTTGAATTGGAGCTTGGCGACGACGCGCATGCACAGCATGGAGCAAGCAACTCTAATGCAAACGCACAGCGCTTGC